GGCCAGTTGTGGAATGCCATCTTAGGAACAATAACATCATTGCAAGACCTGGCACACCTCGTGTTGACAAACCACTTGCCATGCCAGCAGTCAGACATCAGTTCAATTAAATTCAATTCAATTCAATTCAATTCAATTCAATTCAATTCGCTTATTAGATTTCCAGCTTGACACCAGATCTGGCCCACACCTGCCTGTTATGTGGGTGTGAGGACTATTTTTATCTAAAAAATAATTAAACTGACAACTAAATCAAACCAGCTGCTATTATACTGTAGATAATTTAACAACTGTCTTAAAATAAATGATCATTTTTAAACAAAATAACGCTCTGAGCCGCAAGGTTTGCATCGCAGAGTTCTAACTGGGGGCAGTGTATACAATGGCTGCACCGTCGTATACACAGCCTTTACTATTATCACTAGTATTTATGGTTTTTTTTTAAGGGATGCACCGATATGAAAATTTCAGCTGATATCGACATCCGATATAATTATTGCTGTTGTGGCCAATAACAGATATTTACCGATATTACACAAACACACAAATTATATAATACATATACGCACAAACACACTTTGGTCTTTTTTTTTGATATGGTAAATAAACGACCAGACCTCTTCCAATGGCTCCCTGCTTCAGTTATTCCTGGCTGCGCAGCATCAATATCACTATCATGATCAAACAGACGCCGTTCAACCAACCATCTCCCCTCCAGAAACAGAAACACAAAGCTAAAAGTGGGAATCAATATCGGACATTAATATCGGCCCAGTTTTAAATGTCGGACCAATACGATATTCTAAAAATTGACCAATATCGGCCGATACCGATATTAATGCCGATATATTGTGCGTCCTTTTTTTTAATGCTAGAAATCAGACACTGGTGCCCTGCTGACTGTCTTTTAAGGTAGTATCTTAGAGTGTTGCAATAGCATTCATAAATTGGTCTTCAACATGTCTGAAGATATAGACAAAAGTTCTGAATTTTTTCACTTGAATTTTGAACATTTAAAAAAATCTGTACAAGAAGTTTTCTCTCAAAACAGGGAAAGTTGTCTTGGGCGTCTCAAACCCATCTCAGTTCAGTTTCTGTAACTCTACAGCATTAACATTGTTGTTGTTGTCATTTTTTCACACCAAAACTTTCCTTGTGACCAAACATTTGAAACTATGGCCTTACATATACAAATCTAAAAACAGACCAATTCTAAATAGTACTTTTTTTAAATAGTCCAATTAAATAGTCCAAATCTGACCATTTTAGGTCAGTTAGACTCAATTCGATTGGACCAAAATTGTAACATTTGTTGTTCACATTCACACAGCACTGTGTCAAACAAACCAAACCCTGTGACCAACCTGTTCACCTCCCTGCCTGCCAAACATCAAGACCCACTGAAAGAAACAACACAAAATAGCTCTGAAGAAAACACTGAGCGCAGCTTCCTGCTTCACGAAATGTAAACAAACACAGTGTGACGTCAGATTTTAGCCGTTGTAGGATTTCTTTTTTTGTTTCTGGAAAACATGGCAAACAAACACACTTCAACAACTGGCTCAGTGTGAGCAGAAGATGAGGCAGAGAACCATAGAAAATGTTTTCAACACAAGGCTTCTGAGGCTGCGCTGCACTGACTAGGAGCGCATCCAGCTTCATAGCAGCAATGTCCACCTTATACAGACGTTTATTACGTTATTATTATAAATACTCAGGATGTCCCATGCTGTAGTCCGCTTTCTACTTTTGAAGCAGCCTCTGGTCCGCTTGACATTCATATACACATTTGAACCACACCGGTATTCAGTTTAACCGAACAGGGATTAGGTTTTTAGGTGGACCAGAGTTCATTTTTTTTGCTCCGCATCAGAGTTTGATTATGCATTCACACCTCCCTAAACAAACCAGACTTTCTAGGCAAACAAATTAGAGTTTGATTAAAACAGGCTAAACTGGGCTGGTGTGAATACACCCTTAGTTTATATAAGCGTAAATGTGAGGGAAGTTGCCTAGGTGGGTAAACTGTGGTTGAAAATGGGCAATGAAGTAATGTGCATGGCCAAGAATGCGCCCGTGCATCTGAAACTAGACTGTGCTTTTCAAAAATGGTCCGTTCAAAACACAACCACACGACTTCCTGTGAACACTCACATTTAAGTCAGATTAAAATAGAAACTTTACAAATTTTCTCACAGTTTTGAGTCACCAACTAGTCTCCAGAGGTAGGAGCCCCGTCAGACCTTTGGATCTACCTGTAGCTGTTTGACATGAGGTTGTAGAATCCCTGTTTTCACACCTTTACCATCCACACTGCAACATCAACACAAGCACAACAGGGTCTTTAAAAACAGCAAATAGCAGCCTAATTACTAAGCTGTCAGATTAATTAGTTTGCCTCCACTTCTGAACATACTGGACAGAACTACAAACCTCTCCTCATAATAAACAGCTCAAACAGCAAGAGTGTCAGAGCCGGAACAGGAGGTTGTCTGTTTCACAGCACTGACCTGACAGAAAATTACTCTGCTGGCTTCCATTAACATCCAATACATTTTATTTGCTCATTGATTGATGACTTGATCTGTTCCTGCCATCTTTTTCACCCCTTCGAACTGTTTTCATGCTTCCCATCGCGCCTGAAAGCCCAAACGTGGGTGTGATACTGCGCTCCAAACTTAACCTGGCACCTTTCCACAAGCTTTGGATTATGACCGAGGACGTCTGGTATGTGCTGCTCGACTCTGTTAGACTTAATTTAATGACATCACCAGGCGAAGACTACCCTCTCACTGTGTGTCTTTCACTTTCAAGTATTTTCTGTTATGACATGAAACTTGGCTCTTTTTTTGTTTGTTTGTTTTTGGAGCCCTTGCCAGGAACAGAGCAGCATTATAAAGCATATTATAAAGGAGAAGAGAATTATCTCAGCAGAGAGACGTCCATGTGAAGGACCCTTCAGGGCCAGATGGATAAGCCTGTTAGGAATGCTCTCTAAAAAGGCAATAAGGAAGCTGGACGAGGTGATAAATGTTTTTTTTTTCTGCTTGTGCTCCGTCTCGGGGGATATTTTCCTCAATGAATTAATATTGAAGCGGAGACTCAAGCCTGAGCAAGTTTATACCCATAAAAATTGGCAAATTATGGCCGCGGTGACAAGCCACTCCATCAGCAGGAATGTTAATAATGCACCATATGCTGCTGCTAGGTTGAAATAAATGATTATCACACAAAAGGCAATGTGTGAAATAAAGTCAGAGCTGTGCAGTCCTGATGAGGACGACCTTTCAAAGATATTAGGCATGATGATTAGAAAGAAATACATCTGGCAAATGTTAATCTGTTTTCCCTGTTGTCCTCTCCTGTTTTCTCTCTGAGACAAGAGCGGTTCTTCCTCCTGGCTCAAACCTTTGATCGTCTGATTACTTATTCTGGAATATGTTTGTTCACAGCAGAAGCAGCGCTGAAAGAGCAGAGGAGACGGGGGGAAATCTGTACAAGTCCTCATGTAAAGATCTAATAACAGGTGGAATGACCGTCAGGAATTTCTGAATCTTTGAATTATTCTAATAATCCTCTAAGAACTTCAATGATTTTGTTTGCAAGACACCAATCGTGAGAAAAGAGTTTGTGGTGGAGTTCAGCCTGAATGCCAGAAATACATGAAAAAAAAAACTTGCATTCCTCCAAGAAATTCAAGGTTTCACTACTTTTCATGCCAGGGTTTCTATTAAAATCATTTAATGTTGAAACTGCATGCAATTCCATGCAAAATTACAAGGAATGTATTTGGAGTATTGCGAATGACTTACTGAGTTTTACCACATTATCTGTAAAGTTGACTGAATTACAGCCATCTTGGAGTTTTCTAAGGTCAGTTGCCCGTAGCGGCCATCTTGAATCAGACTGACACCAAACAATCAGTTGTAGACAAACATTCAGTGAATATTTTATGAAATTTTCATTAATATATACAGATACATGAAATGTGGTGATAACAGACACAGTTGATGGCAAGCTTAAAGATATTGAGCAATTTGGATCAATCTCAGCTACTACTGCATCACTTTTTAGCTGCATATTTGTAAATTTGAGTGAATGGAAGCTATTTTTGTGTATTTTGAAGTCACTTGGCTCTGTCAGTCATTTTAAATCAAGTTGGTGTCACACTAATCAGCTGTAAATGTTCATCCAATTATTACTTTCTGAAATGTTCAATGAAATTCAAACAGTTTAGGAGATATTTTGATAACAGACGCGCTCTCACACAAACGCAGCAAATCATCATTCACCATCACCTCACAGTGGCCGCGTTTTCTGAGGAAGATAGGTATTTGTCCAAAAAAAGTTGTGCAACTTTTTCCCTATTTGAACAGTCAATTTATTTTCTGATGTTGAAACAAAATCCATCCCAGAATAACTAAAATAGGAGCTGGGGTATAGTTTTAACTGCTCTGCTGAAAAGTTTCCAGCTTAAAAAAAAGATCTAAATTAATAAACGTGTAAAATGTGACTGATGACAGTCAAAATATTGGATGGTCCTTTTCATTTCCAAAAGGAATTCAGCATAAACCTGCATGCAAAACAGCATGCACAGTTGAAAAGCTAATTAACAGATCAAATAAAAACAAACAGCTTCATCCATCAAGTTCAGTTCAGATGCTCCTGATGGGGAAAACGCGCACATTCTTTGGGTGTCTGGCGTCTCCAAACACACTTCACAGGATTCGTGTTTGAACATGAAGCCCCGGCTTTTTCTGCTGCTGCTGCTGCTGCTCTCACATCACTTTCCAGTCAGCCTCACATCAGCAGAAAACTACGAGCAAGAACCATTTCTCTGTGCAGAACGTAAACACAACAGAGTGCCTCCCGCAAAGCGCAGACACGGATCCATGGCGCGTGCTTTCATGAGAATAGAAAACGTAGAAGAGAAATGAGAGCATTTCCTCCATCATACTAGCTTTTAGTAAATAACAGCCCCTTCCTTCCCCTTCACATACCTCCCATCGAAGTCCGCACTTGCTCCAAAGCAGCAGCAGCAGCACAGCAACAACAACTTTATCCATAAATCCATGGTTTCTGGAGTTCTTGGTTTTTACGCGCCCGGTTTGCTCGCTTGTACTCCGAGATTTTAAAAAAAGGCTGTGCGGCCGAAAACAAAGCAGATAAAGAGAAAATAAAGAAGTGTATTCGTGCACAGCGTGGAGGTGTTCCGGTGAGTCCGTCAATTTGCTCATCTGAGTTATCCAGGAGGAAAGCAGGGGGACAGAAATCAGCAGCACCGCGCCTGGGAGCGGAGCTGCTGTGTGCGTGGGGAGCGGGACGCACTCTGCCGGGAGGAAACAGAGTGCACAGCCTCCTTCCCCTCCCTCTCCTCACAAGTTCAGGCAACAGGGCTCACTGAGCAGCGTTCACCCTGCAGGGCTAACCTTAAATCGCCTCATCTGTGTGGGAAAAAAAAAAAAAAAAAAAAAAAAAAAGGCCAGCAGTGTGAAAAAAAAATCCACTCAGCTGTTTGGCTCTTCCCCTACTTTCTGTTTTCACTCCAGCCAACAGGACAAACAGGCAGCACGTGGAGCTCCGCGCATGCCTTTTTTTTTTCAAGGGGCTTTAATTAATGAGCACAACCTGCAGAGGCACGCAGGTGCAGTGGCCACCCAGGTAGAGGCTCCTCTGGCTGAGGGGTGGGGGGTGGGGGGCAGGGCTTAAAGCAACGCAGTGAAAATTAATGACGCTGACAAACACACAGGGAAGTTTGAGAAGCAACACAATTTTCGTGTATTTTCACGTGGCGTTTTCGCAGAAACATTTGGAACAATCAGTATCTTACCTGTTGTGGATAGCTCTTTGAATGGGCTTGGTTTGGAGAGACAACGGAAATGATGAGGCGAATCCAAACAGAGCAGTTCTTCAAGAGTGTAAGGATTTAAATTTTATTTACACCCTTACATTGATTTTTATTTTGTATCATTTTTTTCTTCGTTGTTTGTACATTCTAACCATAATTGTAAAAATAATTCTAGACCCATTTCCACACATTACGGTTGATGAGAATAGAGGGCAGCAGGACCTGGTTAATGGAAAACTGCCATGTTTTGGAATCAACCTAAGTCTCAGCTATTCAATCACACGATCACGGCGTCACCTGACCTTTTCTGTTGAGCATCACAGAACTAATTACAGTTAATCGTTAAACATTTAAGAAATACACACGAATAACCATCCTTTTTTCATTTCTATTAACCGTTTTCTCTGTTAGTATTCCTTTTTGAACATAACAGCATTGTGGTCAGAGTAAAGTAAGAAGGGCCCAAATAATTAACTAACTAACTAACTAATTAAATAAATCCTTAGTAAAGACAGATTCATATTTGTTTCTAAGGTACAAAGAAGTGGATAAACTGTATTTGAACTGGGCCTCTTCATCAACATTTAAATAAAATCCCTGGCTCTTGTGTCCACATGCACCTACACCAAAAAACAGTTAATACATTCACATAAAAAATGCATTTGTTACTGTCACCAAAACCTACATTTTTTGTGTTGACAGGAGGTGCAGGCTCAGCATTTAAACTCCATTTAAAATAATAACATCAGAGTGGTGTGTGGACCAGTTTGTTACTTCCTGTTTGAGTCAAAGCAACACAGCAGATACTAAAGTCTGGTAAACTACTTTCTGGTGACAGATTCATGTCTCCTGTTTCTGCTGTGACAGACATCTGCTCAGCAGAAACTAGTAAAACATTTTTTTTAAATTAAAGACAAACTAATCAAACAGCTTCTTCTTGGAGGAAAAAAGCAAAGTAGGTTTTGATGCTGTTGGTTGTTCAGTCATCTTTTGATTCATGGCACTAGTTGTAGCTTTTTACGCCCTGTCACCTGTTTGATAATGAATCTACATGGTAGCAACGAGGTTTGATGTGAGGTGATCTTAGAAATGTTGCTTTTTTATAATTAGACAATCAGTCATATTGTGGAAGAATGTCACTTCATGATTTATTACATTTAAAACTCAGGAACATGTTATGCAGATTTCACAAATCATGCCTCATTACCAACAACACCAAGCCTGGAGGTAAATACTATGTAGAGAAACTGAATGATGAATTTTCAATGAGGAATTCCTTCGAAACACACACAAAAAAAAACTACTTTTAGTTAGGCTGCATTTAAAAGCATTCACTGATTCTGAGGGGGGAAAAAAGACATGTTTAAAACAAATAACAAATGTGGAAACATTATGCAAAACAGAAACATGGTTGTATGAGTGGATTAAAAAAATTGTGTTATTTCAAAGTTCAATCATCATTCATATTCACAAATATTTTTCTGATTAATTTTAAAATCACTTGTTCTTTTTCCATGTTTTTTCACCTTCACATTTTTTAGGGTTTTGGCCAAACTCATTTTCAAATAGATTGCAGTATTAATAGAAATAGAAGAAAAAATACCACGTACTGTGATTCTTTAACATTTCCCGTCAGTTCTTCAGTGATCTCTTAGTTCAGCAAGGACTAAAAATATTGAACACAACTAATATAGGTAAAAACAGCTGATAAATGTAAAAATAATAATAATAAAAAATAAATAAATCTACTTAAATGAAACCAGCATTCCTTTGAGGGATGCATAACAAACAAATGGATATAATGAGAGCTTATAAACCATGGTTATTCAACTGATGGACTGCGGGCCACATCTGGACTATGGGATACTTCAGTCTGGCCCACAGATGAGTTCAGATATATATATATA